AATCAATGTTAGAAACCATGTATTTGATTGTGAGCCCCTCAAATCAATAAATTGATTGTGAGCCCATCGAATCAATAGCAACTTTTGTCCTGATTATGTTCAGAACACCATCAAAAAGAATTGACAAAGATTGCTGACTGATAAGTGTGTTCCAAAAAACTGGATGTAACCATGGCTGTATTCAAGAAGCACATGGTGATTTCAAGTATATTCATCACCTTATTGCAATCTCGGCATCACTCGGTGGATTATTTTATCCATTGTATGAATGATGAGAAATTAAAATAGCTACAATGGATGGCAGCTTGTATTATTTTACATTTAAACATTGAAGGACATACGAAAATAATCAAACCAAAATGTCTATCTTTGCAAACTGGGTTACTTTCTGACCATACTTTATAACACCTGCAATGTACAGCACTAGTTATGCAACACATGGCTGACTATACAGATATTGATGCCCAGAAATGAAGACACTGGGTGATTTGAATTATAGTCAGTGATGTATCAACAAGAGGTGCTGAGTGCTAGAACTATGTAACTGATATGTGATGATATCACACAAAGCCTCAGGTATGCTCATGAATATGCAAATTAGCTTGATCTCAAACTCAGATTGATGCCATATTTCCACTCAAGTTGCATGTTCCTATCCATGCACCTCAGAATGTATCTTTTTTTTTTCCTTTTTCTTTTTTATAAATACAAAACTAAAAATCAGCAGTTTCATTTCAAAAGATGAAATAAATTTGGAAAAAATGCAATTATTAAATTAAATAATTATTGAATAAAGTTGGAAACTTGCCAAGCAACCCAAAGTACTTAATCACCATGTTATAAAAGAGAAAAAAATGATAAAAATTTTGATATGTACTACCTACCAGTACCATCAGAGGCTGGTGGTAGGAATAAGATTGGATAAAAATGGTATAAATTGCTGGAGCATTTTTATTAATTGTCTAATCAATGCGGTATCTGTTTACTCATTTATTCAATCAGTACCCATCCACTGACTCTGTCTAAAGAACAACAGTGAAATCTTTGCCTCAAAATAATTGTTGAGATTTCCCAAATGGCAAACAAGTGTGTGGTCTTTTTCCTGTAGCAATTTTTCAGCTACAGTTTTTATAATAAAAACGTTTTGAGTAATATTTTGGTAAAAAAAACAATAACTGCTAGGATGTTTGTGCACAAGCATAGAAGATTAAATATAATTTTTTGAAGTGCACATGTTCTCCCTGTGTGTCTTTATTGTCTATATTTAGGCTGTATTATGGTTATTACATGCATCTCCTACTTTCAAACAATAATATACGTAACAGTAAACGACATGTCTACCATCATGAACTGTTCACTGTGCAGAAATGATCAGTAGAAGCTTAAATAACTGGCAAAACACACTTGATATTTCTATTCTATTAAATTTGCATACTGTAAAATAATTTATTTTAGTTGAAAAGACTTTTTGGTTTTTTTGTATGGAAATTTATTTTCACTGATTTTTGATAAGTTGGATGTAAAATATAGGAAAAAATGTATATTCGCCGGATTTTATTTTCGCTGAATCATTCCTTCAGTGAAAATAGCGAAAATTAATTCCAAGCGAAAATAAAGTATTGTACAGTATATTAAAAGTGAAGGCATGTAATAGGCCATAGCACTATCTTCTGAAAACTGACTGTGAAAATGTTGGTTATCGATTCTTTTAATTTAGCCAACCTGCATACACTGGAAGACAGACATGTTTTAATTTCATGAAAAAGTCATTGCGATTCTTTGCGGAAACCTAGTAAAATGTTTACCCACACAGAATTTCACAAATTTTCCGTGCATGGTGATGAATCATGTGAAAATTTGAATTTCAGTTAAACTATTGTATAATACACACAGTGAATTTAAGCACGAATAAGTATAGGACAGTGATTTACCAGCAGTTCCTGCATATTGTAAATTAGATAGAGTGAGGATGGGAAATACGAATGTCATGAAAAAAAACAGAAAAGAATTAGAAAAGTATTAGTAACAAGTATAACATAGAGATTTTAGTGTAAAGCATGAATTGAATTAGAAGCTAGTTATTAAAGTAGAACTGTAGCGTATTTTCTTCAAACATATCTAAGATGCTCACAAATGTAATTTAGAACATTGATAGAGTAACTTGAGTTTCAGGTTACAGGAGAAATCTAATCAAGTTACAGACAGTATAATTTCAATGTCTACAATCAAAATGTCATTGTAATACATAAATGGGCAGGAACAGAATAATAAAAACTCTACACCCACTGGCAACATGCATTATTTTTAAGACTATCTTTTAGATACAGAACATTAGGGGTAATTAATATGATATAAATTTAGATTTAATTTATTGAAGTATTAAAAAGAAGATAGTTTTGTGGTTGCATTATGAATGTTAGTGAGGTAATATGAGAACCTTTGGATCACGACATCTGTTTGTGCTATTACCAGTAAAGTTAAATTTAGAGTACTGAACACAGGCACAAATCATACATTATGACAGTTTTACCATAGGATGTCTAATAAAATGACACCTTCCAGGGATCAGAGAAAAATTAAACAGATTCTACCAGAGACCAAAAATTAAATGATTCCTCAATTGTTTATTGAGACAGGCATTTCAAAGAAAGTAAAAACCCAATCAAAATATTATCTTTCCCATTATTGTAGAGTGTTATCTTACATGCACAGAGAAGAAAAACCATGCTATAAGTGTGTAAAACAGGAAGTAGATGATTAGGTTTACCAGAAGGAATATAATCTAAATGTCATATCATGCTTTGAAATAATTACTTACCTTTGGTCTGCTTCCTTTTCTTGCAATCAAAATCTAAACGCCTTGATTCAAGTTTTTTCCTGTGGTGCTACAAATCAGAAAATCAAAGTGAACATACAGTTAGAATGACTCCAGTGAATGAAAAACATGCTTGACAATAAAATGCATATATTTGTACTACGGGTAACTGAAATCAATCTGTTTTTGTTCCGTCAGACAAAATGTCATTGACAAAAAGAAAAATGGTAAAGTATGCCCTTTAGTGGTCAAAATGAAAAATAAGTCTACCAAGACGAGGTCTATATTTTATCCCAAAGTACCTCAGAAACAAAATAATCCAATCAAAGAGCTGAACGACCCAAACATCACATCCTGGTACCCTGTTACGTCTACCAGGTTACTCACAGAAAAGTAAAAAGTAGTACATAGTGGATCCGGAGCTAATCTTAGTCTCTGAGAATTACGATTCAAATGACAATTTATTTTACGTTCAATAAGTGCTTTTGCTTTACCAGAATTTCTCTTATTTCTTTGGACTTCAGATGTTCCATTGGATCAAGGAAATTTTGTTTAACATTGTAATCTAATGAATCTTTGACTTCTCCCAGCTGTTTCATTGCTTCTCCAGAATCCAATAATGCAAGACCTACAAAAGCAAGTCACAAAAAAATTGCCTCAATAGTAAATACGTATAAAATGAGTTGGCCATTTTGAATCAGAATTTGAAATCAAAATTATAGGCACATATGTAAATACAAAACACAAGATTCAAACTTGCAACACAGCAAACATGCATTGCCACTGTATGTATCCAGACTTGCTCCTTATTACACCACAACACACTGAAACAAATGTATGTTAATATACCTCGGTATATGATATGGTGTATAAGGTAACAGTAAAGGAATGTCAGAGATTCAATTAATATAAAATGTATTTCATTTGGTCATTTTTAATCCAATCTGAAAAATATTATTGTCTGATTACTGTGCTCGTCTGACTTAGCGCCCATGCTCAACTAAGCGCCCACCCTCCATTTTGAGACATTTCTAATTTATGTTCACAATCAGCTAAGTGCCCGATTCCTCAAAAATGCCCCAAATTTGACAGTCTATTTATAAAACCTGGTCTTTGATAATTGTTTGACTTTTCCCGAATACTGTTATTAAATCGAATTTATATAGTACAGTGTGAATGCATAGACCACGGTAACCATGCGTAAAAAAAACACTTTTACAATAACCTGTTAACAACCGTGAAAGGTGGTGAATACTTTATTCCATATTCAGTTGACCTTTTAAAAATTGTTAATTACAGGTTTTAAAAAAATTCAATACTAACAGATAGCTGTCCAGTAGATTGAAATCTGGGTCCAGAACAACAGAAAAGGCAATATAGACGATGTACAGTGTGGATAATAATAATAATTTAACTTACCAAAATTTGAATCATCACCAAGTTCCTTACCAAATTTCAACATAGAATCACCAAGAACACTTTCAGGTTGGGGGTACCTTGTATTTTTAGCTTGTCCTCTCAT